CCTAAATGTCATCATAGCATAGACCAGGGACATAAACTCAGTTTCCTATGAGGTAAAGAATGGAGTGAGCGAAAGGTGAACGTTGGTGAACAGGAGAGCCAAGCAGCCCCAGGCCTGCCTTTGGAGAGGGCAGCAAATCCTCAATTACAACTCTAGTTACCTGATTGAAATGGTGATGCCAGGTCTTCTAATGTATCAAGAAAAGCCAGGCACCTGGATGTTTATTTGCCTTTATTATTATTATTATTCTCAAATAATTCAAACATTTAAATACATTATTGGCCCTCTAGTTTGCAAAATAAAGCATGTCCAGGTCGCATGGGCCAAGGACAATTGTCTAGTCCAGTGGTTCTCAAACATTGACGTGCATGAGAATCACCTAGCAGGTTTGTTGACAGGCTACTGGGCCCTACCTTTGTAGTTTCTGCTTCAGCAGGTCTGCGATGAGACCCCAGACCCTGCATCTCTTAAAAGTTCCCAGGAGATGCTGATGCTGCTGTTGCTCTAAGAACCAGGCTTTGAAAACCATTAACCTTCTGTAACATCCCTGTGCCCTGGTTTATCCATCAACATGGTTCCATCCTCTATCTGACTTCTGGAAATTTTTCAGTCTTTTTGAATGTCTTTGTTTTGTCCACCCCAGCCTTCTTATGTGTTAAGTATTTATTGTAAACTCAATGACATGCAAAGGAGGAGAGGTAAAAACCTGGGCTCAATAAACCCATTGAGAAACATAGTTGTTGGGAGAAAATGATTATGAAAAACACGTTTCTTCAAAAATGGAACAAACGGTTCTTTAGATTCTGTAGCAAGTTGAATAAACTAACAATGTAGTATAGTTGGAGATGGGTTGAGGTAGGAAATTCAAGTTATATTCAATTACATATTTTAAAAGGATGATGTATAAGGAAAGGAAAATAATCTGTTCTCTGTGGAATGCATTAATTATACAATAATAGCATATGTTATAAACTCATGGTTGATAGATTCTGATAAGGCTGTGGAGGAAATTCTAGAGAAGATATAAACAAAGCAATAAGTAATTATAGAGATGGCAGTTGGTTCTAAAATGAAAGGTTTAAAGGATTTTGGTGTTCTTGATTTTTCATAGCATGTATTATATGTCTTACATTGCACTTATGTTTTTAAAAACTAGATATGTTTTTGTTGTTATGTGCCGTTGAGTCAGACCAGACTCATAGCTACCCCTCCTTAGCTTTCTAAGGCGGTATCACTACGGAAGTAGGTTGCCCAACCTTCCTTCTGAGGAGTGGCTGGTGGGTTTGAACTGCCAGCCTTCTGGTTAGCAGTCAAGTGCCTTAGGCACTACGCTACCAGAGCTCCTAAAAACTAGATATATAAGCTTCACTTCTAATTTTTGGCAATTCTCAATTGTTTCCCTGTCATTGAACCTGATGAGTGAATTTTATCAGTGAAAGCAAAATTGCATGGGTCTACTTTTATTCTACTCCCTCCATGTAGCACTAAACTCAAAATCAAACTCACTGCTATAGAGTCGATTCTACTCATAGCAACCCCCACTGGGCTTCTAAAGCTGTAAATATTTATGGAAGCAAACTGCCTCATCTTTCTTCTGTGGAGTGACTGACTGGTGGGGTTGAAACACCTACCTTTTGGTTAGCAGCCAAATGCCTTAACCCCTACACCACCAGAGCTGCTTCATGTAACACTAAAACAAACAAACAAAAACGAAACAACAAACCCACTGCTATCAAGCTGAATCCGACACCCTCTGTGTTTCCGAGGTAGTAAATCTTTATGGAAATAGATTGCCCAATCTTCCTTCCATGAAGTGGCTGATGGGTTTGAACCTCCAACCTTCTGGTTAGCAGTCAAATGCTTTAGGCAAGTGTTAAGTATTTTGGGGATGATTTTGGATCAGATAAATGTTTTCAGAGTAAACCATTTACAATCTTCTTTATTATTAATAAAACACCTAACGAAACATTGGTGGAAAAGTGTTGTGCTACAGTTCTAACGGGCACTTCGTTATTTTGTTGTAGTTTGTTGAGGGTTTATGAACAGCAGGGCAACGAGTTGTTCACCGCAACCTATGAAGATGAACTGAAACGGAGATATTTTGCTTGGACCTAGCAAATAACTTTTCTTTAATAATTGAGAAAACGTTGACATGAACAATTAATTGGTAAAACATATAGACAGATTGACACCTATCCTGAATGCTGTATAATTATCATCATCTAAGCGTAGGGACCTGAAGCCTATTGGTTTCTTCCTGTTTTACGATTTCTTGGTATTCCTTTATTGCTCTTCAAAAGGTATTCCCAAAATCTTGTTCGAAATTTAAAAATAATGCCAACTTTGAAAGTTTATTTATGTATATGTATCATCTTCTCCTTTGTTTTTCATGTCAGTCCATGTACAGAGGATCACCGGTTAGTACAAATTTTAGAATGTTTAACTCCCGATTTTTATAGGTAAAAGAGAACATAAGTTTCATGCTATTGGGTAACAAACTTCAAAGTAAGTGGTCTTCTTAACTGCTCGTCACAGTTTCTTGTAAGTTCCAGTCAACCTCTAAATGTAAAGAATAACCTTTTCTTTATTTTTCTGCCTGACATTTTGTTGCTAATTCCTTGCATGATGTTATTATGGTTTTTTTTCAACTTCAAAGAAAAGAAGTGTTTGACATTCATTTTACAGTTGTTTTTAGTGTTGTGCACCTATCTAATGGATGCCCCTGTGATTTTCACATAAACTATGTGCTTGTTGGTGTTTATGTTCACCATACCCACTCTTGTGTATCACTACATAGGCATGACCCGATCTTACTGATGTCTAATAAAGTCCTAATTATTGCATAAATAAATGAGTTAGAATCTTCTGGCACATTACTGGTACAGTTTCTCTTTTTAAACAGATTAAATTAGTCAACATTAACTCCACTGATATAGCTGACGGCCGGCCCTCCATAGTTCTTGGACTGATGTGGACCATTATCCTGTACTTCCAGGTATGGTACTGGAGTCATCTTCTACTCCTGCCACACAGGGACAGACTTTTTTATTATGGTTTTATTTGCTCAAGCCTTTGGCTTGGAGACTCAAATTAGCAGAAATACGACCTTCATACATATATTGTTTTTTGGTAGCAGAAGAATTTTCTTTTTTCCCTATGCAAAGGTGTTGCACTGAGGAGATCTTTCACCAAGGAAATCCATCAGAAGTAGCCAAACTGTGCAATGCTTTGGGGATGAAATATATGTATTGAAGAAGCTAAAGAGAATTTTCTTTCTTTCTTTCTTTTTTTTCCTGTAAGGGAGGTGTTCTATGCTCTTATAAAATGGGAAGGAGAAAGGTTAAATTGCCATTTCATCCAGAAAAAGTCATGCACAGCATAAAATCTGTTTGAGCAACATCCAGCAACATATATGTTCATAGTCCAAAGCCCTGTAAAGCGTATTATGTTAGAAATTTGAGATACACAAAATATTTCATAGTAACAAACAGGTGCTACTTTGCAGCATGCACCAACACATTATTATTACTGTATTATCATACTGAAATGTTGTAATGCATCTGGAAGTGTTTCTTTAATGCATATTTATGCATAGAAAGGTACACTACATAGTATATGCTAAGATAAACGTTTGACTAACTGATGCTAGTTACAAACCCTACCTAACTGTTCTACTTTACATACAAATTCAACTTAAAGACAAATTTAGGAAAGACATTATAATCTGGGGACTGCCTGTATATGATATGCAGTTCGTACAATACCCAAATCACTTAATATACTAGTTCACAGAACATATGAATATTAAGTGATATGTGACTTTATTTATCTGGAGAAAGATGTGTCCTAACTATTAGGGTTTATTCTATTAATTCTTTCATGTACTTAGCAAATATTTATCACTGTCTCAAAGGTGCAGTTCTAGGTATAAGAGAAGTCCACACAGGAGGAAGACATCAAGTGTGCCCTGAAAGAGCTTACATCTTGGCAGGGTGTTAAGATAGAGACAATTCAAATCATGAATAGGCACTTAAACATACTGATAGAAAGATCCAATATAGTGAAGTAGAATTTCAATTATCTATCTATCTATCTATCTATCTATCTATCTATCTATCT